AGTTCAAAGAAACTGACACTTTGTTCTACAAGAAACAATGACATTTTCTTGTGATAATTAAATATGCAAATGGTTTGAGATTGAATTGAATTTTTGCAAGGATGATCTATGAATCGAGACTTGCAAAATAAACGATTCAGATCATTGAAAATCGATGTGAAGTAGGCCCTACAACTAGTCCCATTTTTACCCAAGAATGGAAATCCATTTGGACAAAGGCCTTGTGTCACACACACACTCAGCAAACTAAAAAACTATATCACCTTGGTGGAGGAATTGCAATATAAGAGAAACAAGAAAACTTCGAGAAGTGTTTTGGAATGCAAACAAACCCCTTTTCCAGCTCCAAATCTTAGAATGAGAGTTAAGTCACTAACATTAAAAAATGAACTCTTACTTTTAATTTAGTATAAACTCTTTGCTACAAATAGGCTTTTCAAATGCACCACTTTTTCCACAACAATTCAATTCTCATCTACCACGTTACAGACTTTAAGTTACAAACAAGATGGCCAATCCAAATAGCTACTACTTCCCATTTTTCCCTCCACCACCTCCGTCCCCGGGGGCAAATCCTCCAAGGCACTCAACCCCACCACCTCCTCCATCAGCAAAACCACCAAGTCAATCAACCCCACCACCAACTCCGTCAGCAAAGCCACCACGTCCATCAATCCCACCACCACCTCCGTCAGCAAAGCCTCCAAGTCACTCAACCCCACCACCACCTCCATCAGCAAAACCACCAAGTCAATCAACCCCACCGCCAACTCCGTCAGCAAAGCCGCCACATCCATCAATCCCACCACCACCACCCCCGGGGGCAAAGCCTCCAAGCCCCTCAACCCCATCACCACCACATAAGCCATTTAGGCCACCGCCGCCACCTCACGTACGCCCTCCGCCACCGCAATTGCCACCATCACCAACCCCGGACAATCATCCCACCGTCATAGTCATTGTGTTCATATCATTAGGTTCCGTTTTCTTCCTTGCATTCCTTGCAGTTGCCCTACTCTGTTACATCAAGAGGAGAAAGAAGAAGACAATCCAAGAAACCGACTTCATTCACATCGACAAACACCGGAAGATCAAGGAAGCCATTGTCGAAGGTCCCAACGGACCCCAAGCCGTGCTGTTGTCGGTTGAGGATGATGTCCATATCGACGAGGAGATAAGGAAGAATGAGACAATTAGTCACGAGGGTTTGCATGGAAAAGTAAAGAGTTCAGGTGTCCAATCTGATACCGAAATCGTTAACGTCAATGAACATCGGAAGGTGAAGGAAGACATCGTAGAAGGTCCGCATGGGTCGAAAGCTGTGGTGTTGACAATTGACGACGATGTTCATATCGACGAAATAATAAGGAAGAACGAGAGGGTTGGTAAAGGTTTGCATGGCAATGCAGAGGCAGTGAAAATTGATGAGCCTTCAACGAGTTCACATATTGGTCAGCAATAATAATCTTGTATGCACATTTGATGAAGTCGTGATTAACTCATGTAACTAATAAAAATTCATCACCGAAAACTGATATATATATTTGACTGTTCTTTTTAAGATGGATCTGTAAAGATTTTACGTATGTCAAATAAGCTGTTTCATGTTTGAACCAGCCTCCCTCAGGCTAATGCAACTAAAGTCCTTTGATTTTTAATAGAACCAAGTCACTCAACGTAACCACCATCGCCCCCGGTGAAAAAGCCGGCACTTCCTCAACCCCACCGCCACCACCACCCCGGGGTAGATTTTTTTAATCTTAACTTTTTTACTATTTATTTGGTTTTTTGTTAACATAACTTTTTCCGCACAATTCGATCAATTTTTTTGAATGAGGAGATGTGGAAGAAGGTTGAAGAAAGCCTAGAAAAAATTTGAATGAGGAAGTGTTTTGTGTGAGAATTAAAAGGAAAAAAAAATTGGTAGATGGATGAACAAATGTCATGCCTATATGTGAAGGGGTCTGTTTTTTTATTCTTTTTTTTATTATTATTTTTTTCAAATGGTATTTATTCGATTATTTACAAACTTTGGATTAATGTATGCATGAATCTTGACCTTCCAAATATATAGGCCTCCAACTATCGCTTGTTTGGCGAGTATTAGGCATATTTGCGCGTGAACCTTTCTTTTCTTTTTCCTTTGAGGAGCCCACATTATGCATCTTTACCTGCATTTTCCGGTGAGTGGCAAAATTTGCAACTTATACAGCACCGAGACTGGAACAACTTCCGGCTGCGGGAAATGTAAACGTTGCTTTACAATCCCATTTGGAAGATTGGAGATGCTCTTAGAAGCACGGTTGTGTTGTCTGCTTACATACTTTCACTGTATAAATAGGTTGGGAGCTAGCTACAAGCTTGGCCCTACCCTTTTCACCTACACAAACAGAGGAACATGAGAGATATCAAATGCAACCAAACAGAAGGACTCGGTAGGGACAGATACATGACAGTTTTAGTCGGAATGCCAACCAAAAGGACTCAAGTCAGTTGTTTATATACACATAAGGATATTGCTTGGCGAATAGGAATTCATTCCTTGTTGAATAAGGTTGTGACATTTAACTTAGGTTTAAATATTTTATTTCTTATTTTTATGTATACTTTGCCCCTTTGGCGAATAAGAAGAAACAATAAATTCCCTAACAGTGTGTTTGGATGTGGAAAAATAAGTCGGAAATTAGGTACAAGTCGGATTTGAGGGATGGGAATTCGATTTTTTTTGCGTTTGTCAACTTGACGCCCATAAATCAACAATTGACGCATGGAAAACCTCAGGGAAATTGGGGCTCTAATTTTTGAGTTCAAATTCCGCCAAAGGAGTTCTCATTTTACAATTTCAATTGAGAGGGAAACTGTCTCTTCCAGCGACCCAAAAGTTCAGATAAAACTTCACCTAAAACAAAAAGAAGAACTACAAAAAAAGAAGAAACGAACTGCAATACACTCCACTCTGAGAATGAATTTATCAATTGTGTGATGGTTTGGGTTATCTGAATCTGCTAATGAATGGAATTTGGTGATGGGGCGGCTGCGCTTGAGATTAGATGGTTGGTTGTGTGGCTGGGTAGGTAGAGGCTATGGGGTGGGGGGTATGGATGGGTAGTATGGACTAGAGGAGCGTGTTTGAAATAGAGAAAACAGTGGCTTTTGCACAATTTTTTTCCCAAGAGTTTGACCTTGGTACCTTTGGATTTTGGTATCTATGCAGGACTAGTTGAAGCGAAGCAAACAAAGGCAAGTATTCTTCTTAACTAGCCTCCGTGCATGCACTTACGCCCGTGTGTAAAAAATAATTTTTGAATTATTGCGTGCTACGCGCGACTTACACATTTATATATTTATATGCATGAATTGCTTCAATATCTTTTTTTATGACAAAAAGAAAGTCAAATATTTGGACTAAATGAATAATATTAGACCATGCTAAAAAAAACCCTCATAAACCAATTAAAGCAGCTGAATCCACATAATAAAATCGGTCTTTTAATTTCCATCTACATTCTATTGAATTTACATTAAAAATAGAGAAAATAATATTTAATAAACAACTGATTGAATCACATTATTGCTAGCCCATTGTGAAGTTAAGTCCACTCCCCTCCCCCTTAGTGCAGATAATATCGTTTGTTAAAAAAAATCATTTGACAATTAATTGAATCACATTATTATGTGCGTGTGAAATACTTTTTTTATAACCGGCACTACGCATCACTTAAGATATTTTGAACGTGTTTAAAAATAGAGAAAACAATATTTAATAAACAACTGATTGAATCACATTATTGTCAGCTCATTATGAGGTTAAGCCCACCTCCTTCTTCCTTAGTGTAGATAATATCATTTGTTCAAAAAAAAAAAATTTTGACAACTAGTTAAATCACATTATTATTCACGTGCGAAAGACTTTTTTTCATAACCGGCACTACACTCATGTTAAGATGTTTTGAACGTGTTTAAAAATACAGAAAATAATATTTAATGAACAATTGATTGAATCAAATTATTGCTAACCCATTGTGAGGTACAAATTATAAAAAATTAAAAAAAGAACACTGTACAAAAAAACTAAAAAACACTGTTTATATGACGACAATACCTCTATATTATTTGATGCATTATTTTGAACTGCTTTTAAACTTTTTTGTTTTGAGAGCATTTTGTCCAAATATTTTTTGGTGAATCCGTGACCCCAAATTTGGGTTGTTGGCTGTATATATAAAGATTTGGTAGTTTAATTGCACAGGGGTGCAGAACTAGTTGAAATGAAGGAAAAACAAAATTTATGATTTATGTCATTTGAATATTCCGCGGACCGATACACCAAGGAAAAACAAATGCACTTTAATTTATGTCATTTTCTTACCTCAACGGTGTAGATTTTCGTCAATTCCATCCTAGACGGAAGTTTGCGGCCACAGTACGTTTCCAATGCAATAACAGAGGAAGCCCTTCTATTCGGTTCTTGGCAAAGTGGTTCATTTTTTAAAGTGCAATTAGCAATTCAAAAATTCATGTCTGATTGCAAACATAAGTACAATTAGTAAGAACCATATAACCAAGTAACTAAATTTCACATTCATAAGGTGATGCTTAATTGGAAGAAAAATGCATAACATCTAAACTAAGCGCTATCAATCAAAGGATGTTAGAATATAAGCATGAGTATGAATCTACGAATTAAGTTATTTGATTCAAGATTAGATAGAAAGTCTTATTGGGAATGGATTTGTAACCCCTGTTATGCTGAAACACTATGTGTAATGAATTGGTTGTCTATATGGATTCTAATAGGGGAATTCTTATAAATACTTGGCTAGGATTATGTTGTATATAAAGTGGCCTCTACTCTCACAATTTGTACGTGCTCTATTCTTTGGACTAAGACCTATTATTAGTTAAGAGCAAACTGATTGAAGAGAGGAGAAGGTGCACTTCTACTTTGCTGCAGAAATCGGACATGGCAGCTTCTTCAAATTTGGCTAAAAAAATTAGTGCTGAAACGGGAGAAGACCTGAACCAATTAGTAATGGTAACACATGGTTATCATATTATGCGTCATATAGAATTAAGAGAAATTCCGGGAATTAAAGATTATAGAGATATAGATATAGGATCAATGGCTATGGGAATGTATCCATATCCTCTATACCCAGCTGAGTCAACAATTAGATACACACTATTTATGGATGTACCAATTGCTAGTGATAGGTTGTCTGTCGAAATATTTAGCAGTTTGAACGAATGGGCTGTTGAATACTTCGGGACTCCCGCTAAGTTTACTTTGATAGATAAAGAGCGTGCGGCAGAGACCCACCCGTAGTCTCCCAACAACCATCCTCCCGATTCATCTACAGGTCCCCCTCCACCACCCTTCCCACCGCACCAGCCCCACCACCCCACTCTGGCTCCCTCCCCACCTCACCAGACGAACGACCGCCAACCCTGCCCGCCCCTCCGACGAAGATACACACTATTTATGGATGTACCAATAGCTAGTGATAGTTTGTCTGTAGAAATACTAAGCGGTTTGAATGGATGGGCTGCTGGATATTTTGGGTCACCTGCTAGGTTTAGTTTGAGAGATAAAAAGCGTGTGGCGGTGACCCACCCGCAGCCTCCCAACAATATCATCCTCCAAATTCATCTACAGGTCCCCCTCCGCCTCTCCCTCCACTAACCTCCCCACCGCACCAGATCAACGACCGCCAACCCCGCCTGGTCCTACGACGTAGCCCCCGACTTGCTGAACGGTCAGAGAAAACTCAAGTACTGCTTAAGGTTATTCTTTATTTATTTATTTATTATTATTATTATTATTATTATTATTATTTTATGAGTTTTGCTTTAGAATCACTCAAAAACATGAAATGCTTTTAATTAATCTCACATGCTTTATTTGTTAAATTCGTAGGTTTTAACAGCCAAGTGAGGAGAAGAAGATAGTCGTGATACATCTTACTTGCTAAGAAAAGCCTCACCTTCTATGGGAATCAAGTAGAATTCTCACCCCAACCCAAGAAAATTTTATTATATTTCATTTTTCTGTATGAGCTGTTACAGTTTTGATGTTTGTATTCAGGTATACTAATGTTGAAGAACCATCAAATATCTCACTCAACAAGAGGCATGTCCAAGCTTTATCTAGAAGTGAAGGGCACAAACAAATGAAAGTTACTGAATCTGATGCTTGCGTGGTATGCCTCTTTGGTTAAGTTATACTCGCTTCTCCATATCATTTAATATTTATTGTGTACCAATTTGATTAGTGGCATTAGATATTTCTTGTGTTCCATTTTGATTGATGGCTCTATGTCACTAAGCAGGGAAGTCGAAAGCTTGAAGGAAGGTTTAGAAGTTTTTGAAAGAAAGACGAAAACAAAGGCAAAATCTGAGATATTTATAGGGGACCTCTCAAGCAGGGGCGGGTGGAAATAGGGACCAAGGAGGTCGCAGGACCACCCAAGTTTGGAAAATATACATGTGAAAGTTTTTTGAGGATCTTTTGAATATTTGGTACAGGTCTTTTTTTGTGCTTACTAAATCTTTGATGTAATACATGCTAGACTTATCTCGATATGTTGTATCGACAACATGTGACAAATTTTCTCTATATTACTCATCAAAATGTTTTTTAGACAACTATCCATTCTCAAGTGAAACACCCTTTCAGATACATAGTTCGGAGAAATTGTGGGATCATGGATTTCTAGAGCCAGAATAGGGTGATTGGAACACGTACCTTAAAAATCTGATCATAAACTAAACAGCTCCCATCAGATTAAGTTGCTCAAACGGACAGATGCCACCACATCTTGCTATACATCAGTGCCAGAAGATTTAGAACCCATTTTCAAGAAGGCACACTTGTCGCTTGTAATGAGTAATTCTAACCGTAATGCTACTTAACCGTTTGTTATTTATTTCTACAATATGAGGTATTAGAAGATCAATAAACAAAAAGCTTAAATTAAACTGCACATATGTTGCAAGTAATGAACTTCTAAACAAAGAAAGTAAAAAAGACAAAATACTTTATATATGTTGTGGCCAATTTACTAATGGGAAGAGGGAGGGTGCAGCAACAGAGAAAATGAATAACGCGAAAGGAAATTGTAGGATGTATTTTTAAGTATGAAAAATGAGAAACTTGTTCTTCAAATAATACATAGTCTAATAAAAAAGAATCACTAGAGTAAAAAATAATCATAAATTAATCTATAAATTTACAAGACTACACATGTGCTAAATATCATTTACAATAATATAAGAGTTTGGGTAAATTATACAAAACTACCTCAACTATGGGTCTCAAATCTCATGTTTTAAAGTTACAAGGGCATACCTCATTTTACAAATTGTTTCAATGTCAGACCTTTGTTAGTTTTCTGTTAGTTTTTATATCAATTTTTTGTTAAATGTTGACGTGGCTTAAAGCGAACCCGCTGCCTAACCCAATTGGATTAAAAAATAATTAAATATTAAAATTTAAAAACAAAATCATTTAAATATTTTTGCAAAAGAATGTGGGACCCATATCCTCTTTTCCCTTCCACCCGTACCCCTCCCTCCACCACCCAAATCAATATGAATGTGACCTGCAAACTTAAACCCAAATCAACATTTATAATCTTCCCTAACCCACCACCCAAAAACTTCAGAAAAACAAAACAAACTAACATTTTACAACAAACTCCACTTGACCCACCACGTGAAAACCATTAAAATCTAGAAAATCTTCAAATAACGAATCAAAGAATATAAATTTAAATTTACAACTCAATCAGATTAGAGTCATCTTAGATTCAAAATTACTTCTCTTTATGACGTTGTTGGAGTATATTGAGAGCTCGACGAAGAGCAGGATTTCGAGATCTGATAGGATCGGCTGGCGATGGTGGTTTTCTCGTCGACGGTGCCTGTGGAGGTGGTGATTGAAACTCAGTTTTTTCCTCTCTTCCGATTCGAATTCCCGGTTCTTCTACCTCCAAATTTGTTTGAACGCCTTTTTGGTGAAGGGATGGGAGATGGACGGAAGGGGGAAGGAAGGTGAGGATGGATGTTCGAATGCCTTCCTAGCGTCAAATTCTTAGAAATTCCACTTGTTCGATTCGCAATGAACGACGACAAACAGCGTGAAATTTGGGTGGGTCTGGTTCGTGTCACCAAGAACAGTGGAACGGTGGTGGCGGTGACAGTACTTGTTGCCAGAGTTCTCCTTAAAATCACTAGCTGGAAAGCTCGCCTAGGATACGAGTTGGGGCAAATGGAAGGAAAAAGAGGAAAGGTTGGGGGAGACGGAAAGGGTGAGGGTGATGGGTTGGTAAGGTGGGTCCACAATTTTTTACAAAAATATTTAAATAATTTTATCTTTAATTTATTAATATTTTTATCCAATTGGAGAAGGGAGTGGGTCTCTCTCCAAGCCATGTTAGCATTTCACAGAAAAATCAACGACAAACTGATGGAGGTTTGACATTGCAATAAATTTGTAAGATGCGGTATGATATTGTAATTTTCAAAACATGAAGTATGAGATTGTGGTTCGACCTATCGTTATAATAATTTTGTGTAATTTAGACTAAGAGTTTTATTGAGAAATTTAAATAAAAGAGAGAATTCACAAAATTTAATTTAATATATTCTAAAACTGAAAAGTTTTTTCGGCCGATTTTACCCTCACATATTTAGTCTAATTCTGATTTTGTCCCTCAGATTTCCTTCTTTTTTTTTTCCTTCCTTCCCCTACTTTTTTCTACCCTCTCGCTCGATCCTTTCTCCTTCTGTCATTCTCTCTCTAAAAGATTCTGCCTTCTCTCTCTAAAAGTCTCCTCTCTCTCCTCCTTCGCCGAACCACGACGCCGTTTCTTCTAACCGTCGACCTCGCCCACCTCGCCATCACCCTGCGAACTTCCTCCTTCAACTCTTTTCAACGTTTTCAAACACCCCGAACGACAAAACCACCGCTTCATTCTTCATCAGTTCACGCAGACCACCGCCACCACTACCACCACTTCAGCCAAATCCGACGAAGGGCGCCACTACACACGTGTGAATCTTCCTGCGCCACCAGTCTCCGCAACGTTTTCCGAAGCCCGCTTGACTGAAGGTAAGCGAATTTGGTATTCTGGATTATATTGGAATTTAAATAGGTTTGGTTTCAATAACTTTTTATGTTTTTAAAATTGTATGCTCCGATTACCTTGGAATTTGAGTTTGGATTGGAATTTGATTTTGCTTCACAAAGTTCTGATAAAATCCTAACAGAAATTTAGGAACGTATATTTTTCTTTGGATCTTTCTTCTGATTGTTTGGGTATCAACCAAGGACTGACTGAGGGTGGGTTCAAGTTTTCCGACGTAATTGTTAATCTTTGTAATTTGATTATTTTGAGCTCTTATTTTTATAAATTTGTTTTTGAAGGAATTAATTGTAAATTGTTATGTCGAATTTCAGGCACGAAGCCTAGAGAGAGTTTTCGTCTGCACCATTAAGTAAAAGATTCGATATGTTCACTCTGGACTCTGGAGACTCTGGATGGCATCTGTGTAGCCATTAAAGGGTTCATAAACGAGCAGAACACTATTGAAAACAGGATTCCGTCTGAGGTAGTACTCGATATTTGCTAGTATTGCTCTTCTTTACTGATTTCGGTTGACATTGTGAATGTAATTAACTTTTGAATGTTTTTTGGTACAAATTTAGTTTCGAATTTTGGGTTTGCCTGGATATGTTGAAAAATGTATGCATTTGAGAGTGTTGGGGGACTCACAAATGCTGTAGCTACTGAGTTTTGGGTACCGTCTGTTAATTCAGATTCATATTGGGATATTGATTCTTTGAACAATCAATTAGTGGTAACTTAGTACTTTAGCTATGAATATTGGCATTAAGTATAATCATAGATTAAGGTTTTCTCTCATGTTCCAAATATTGTTTTTGTTTTCATTTTGGTAAAATTTAGGGAAGAACGAATTCGATGATTTTTATGTTGTTTTTGATATTACTGATATGTGTGGGAAATCATTGAATTTGATTTTGAGCTTGTGCTACTTGTCAACCATGTGTAATGCTGAATGATGAAACAATGATTAAGAGCCGAGTGTAATGATTAACTAAGCTTGCGCTGCAAACCAATTGCTACTGAATTGAACTTAGTTCCTTTGTTTCTGGCTGGGCAGGAGATTGCAGCATGCGAGAACAAGCAAGCAGAGTTTTTGTTGTTTTGTTATTTAAAAAGTTACGTTTTTATTTAGGACATTTTGGATCCGAGATAATGCCCAAGTTTAAGTATTTTGGGTGGATTTGAATTTAAAAATTGTTTATTTTTTATTATTTTTTGGGTCTTCTTTCTTCTGATTTTTTGGGTATCAACCAAGGACTGACTGAGGAAGGGTTCAAGTTTTTCGACATAATTGTTAATTTTTGTAATTTGATTATTTTGAGCTCTTATTTTTATAATTCTGTTTTTGAAGGAATTAATTGTAAATTGTTATGTTGAATTTCAGGCACAAAGCCTGGAGAGATTTTTTGTCTGCACCAATAAGTAAAAGGTTCAATATTTTCACTATGGACTCTGGAGACTGGATGGGATCTGTGTAGCCGTTAAAAGGTTCATAAACCAGCAGAACAGTATTAAAAACGGGATTCCGTCTGAGGTAGTACTCGATATTTGCTGATTTTGGTTGAATTTGTGAATGTAGTTAACTTTTGAATGTTTTTTGGTACAAATTTAGTTTCGAATTTTGGGTTTGCCTGGATATGTTGAAAAATATACCCATTTGAGAGTGTTGTGGACTCACAGATGCTGTAGGTGCTGAGTTTTGGGAACTGTCTATTAATTCAGATTCATATTGGGATATTGATACTTTGAACAATCAATTAGTGGTAACTTACTATATTAGCTATGAATATTGTCATTAAGTATAATTATGGAGAATGTAAAATTATCCTTTTGTTGGTTTTACAAGCATAAGTGAATGATGAGCACTGAACCCAGCAAAACTTTGCTTTTCAGCAAAAATTTTAACATAGGGGAGACATTGGTGTTTTCTTGTATGTACTTACTGTCGGATGATAAAATTTTGGGATTTTTTTATTGTTTCATTGGTGCACTATTGTTGCGATGGCGTCTGGGGATGCGTACCTACAACATCAGGTGGTTGGGTATGTTTTTTGTCTCAGAAAAGTTTGTTCTGTAATATGAAATACATGATTAATAATGTAGTTTTATTTTTGTTCTGTTAAGGCACCAAGTCCCAACTCAGGTTTACAATCTGTTAACTCCCCTACAAAACGGATCAACAATAATGTAAGTCTTTAGAATTGTACATAAATGTTGAGTTATAAGATTTATGTCTTTAGGATTGTACATAATGTTGAGTTATGAGATTTATTTGTTTAATATCATATAATATTTTACAGGAATTCATTTTTAGTTTCTGTGCCAAGTTTGAATATGAGCGTCACTGTTCATCCCGCAGACTTAGGATTAAATTTGGCCCAAAAAATTAGTGTTGAAACGGGAGAAGACCTGAACCAATTAGTAATGGTAACACATGGTTATCATATTATGCGTCATATAGAATTAGGAGAAATTCCGGGGATTAAAGATTATAGAGATATAGATATAGGGTCAATGATTATTTGAATGGATCCATATCCTCTGTACCCAGCTGAGTCAACAATTAGATACACACTATTTATGGATGTACCAGTAGCTAGTGATAGGTTGTCTGTAGAAATATTTAGCAGTTTGAACTAATGGGCTGTTGAATATTTTGGGACTCCTGCTAGCTTTAGTTTGAGAGACAGAGAGGGTGTGGTGGTGACCCACCTGCAGTCACCCAACAACCGTCCTCCAGCACCCTTCCCACCTCAGCAGCCCCAGCATCCCACTCTAGCTCCCTCCCCACCTCACCAGATGAATGACCGCCAACCTTGCATGGCCCTTCGACATAGATACACACTAATTATGGATGTACCAATAGCTAGTGATAGGTTGTCTGTAGAAATACTTAGCAGTTTGAATGAATGGGCTGTTGGATACTTTGGGACTCCCGCTAGGTTTAGTTTGAGAGATAAGAAGTGTTTGGCGGTGACCCACCCACAGCCTCTCAACAACCATCCTCCCGATCGACGACTGCCTACCCCGCCTGGTCCGATGACGTAGCCCCCCCGTCTTGCTGAAAAGGTGAGAGAAAACTAAAGGACCACTAAAGGTAAATTCATTTTCTATGACTTTTGCTTTAGAATCACTCAAAGACATGAAATTTTTTCAATTGATCTCACATGCTTTATTTGTTAAATTCGTAGGTATTAACAGCCAAGTCAGGAGAAGAAGATTGTCATGATACATAGACAACCAAACTAAAAGAAAAAGAAAAAGAATCAAAGTGTTTCCCATTCAGCAGGGTCAATTGAAGAGAGTTCCGTTTTGGCAAATTTTATTGATCCAGTTCAATTTGGAAGCACTCCGGATAGTGTCTATGTTGGTGATCGAAGGCAATGGTGATATAAAAACTGTCACTATCTTTACACCTCTACTTTAAGAGACTCGCAAGTTTTTTGGTTAGAAATTTTCTTCTGTTGCAAAATTCAGTGAGGCTCTTAATGTTAGACTTAAACATCCTTGTGAGTTTTGTTCGGAATGCTCGAGTTTGAGGGTTTTCCCCCACTGTTTTGCTTGACCTACTCCATTGTATTGCATTGCAACACAAGTCGTTCATTGTTTCGACACAGGCTACTTCGGGCTTGGATAAATCTCAACTTGGGGATGGGGAGGTTGTCGATTCAGTTGCATTGCCTTCCATTTGCCTCCCGCTATTGCTGATCTTGTGATTGTTATAATCGAAAGCTACTGTTATCATAACATTGTTGAATCGTTGTTTTTGTTTAACCAAACAATAGAATAGACTTAATCTCCTACTGATGTTGAATTTAAACCTCCCTCCCTCTGTCTTTATCGTTTTCTTTGTCTCTCCCAAGCATACCAAGAATTTAAGTTAGAGATTTCAAACAAAAAATATATCAATTATACTTTTCGTCCGTTCATTTTCAATCCAACGGTTCTTATCTAGATGTGTAAATAGCATGTGTACCGTGTACATGAGAGAAAAATCTGTTATAGAGCATTGCCCCGTGCATTCATGCAAGCATTGTAGTTTTTAATTTTTTATTTATTACAAGTTGTATTCACGCTAGGTTGTACTAAGGAAAAAGGAGGGTTGAATCGAAGAAATAGTATTGAAGATGAAGACGCTAACCATCCAACCCATCCACCACTTACACAAGCAAAAATTCTCTCCCACTTATCTTTCACAAGTGAGCGGTTAAAATTTGACCAAAAAAAATTTAAGAGATTTAGTTAAATCTCAACCTTTATTTTGTGTTTTGATGGTCAAGATCAAGAGAACATCACTGCACATGCATCGATAGTTTTCCATGCATTGGTATTGCGGTGAGTGGATGGAATTATTACCACCGTCTAATTAAATAGAGGCTTGGGCTTAATTGTGGCACGGCCTATTAGTTATGGCTTGATCAGTTTCAAGGATATCTCTTGGGTTAGTGAATCGAGTGAATTTAGTCTGGGGGAATCAAGAAAGATGGTTTCCCAGTAGTCCTTGAGGAAATTAGGATGGAATGATCTTAACTAGTTTGAGAGAGGGTGTACAAAAGATACGGGCCTCGGTTTTTATGTGTAGGGTTGTACTTTCCCTAAGGATTAAGGCAAAAAAGAAACACAGCGATTTACTCTAAATCCTTCAATCAGGGAATAGATACATGACAGATTGGTAGGGAGAACGAAAAAACATGAAGCAAACTACGTTTATAAATTGAAAAATGGTAGGGAAAATCACAAACCATATCCTCTCCAAATTTGCAATACCCTCAAAATCCATGTAACCATACTTATTTTAATGAACAGCAGATAGATGTACAAGTTCCCTCCATTAACAAGTAACAAGTCACTAGTTTTTTCTCTTAATTCTCCATGCGGATGACGCACCGGATGGACTGTCCAGAAAGCATCAAGTCGAATGCTTTGTTGATGTCGGCGAACGAGACCGAGTGAGTGATAAATTTGTCCAGTTCCAGTTCCTGCAAAGATCAACACAAGGTGAGTCTTACCGCATTATCGGGTGGTTTCACAAAATTGGTTTCGGAAATAGAAAGGGAAATGCGACCTATAAAGCTAAGGCCTTCGTATGAAAAGGCCACAGAAACTTAAATAAGCTAAATCATCGGGTGGTTCCACAAATTTGGTTGAAAAGGAAATATGAACTACCTTGTTCATGTACTTCTCCACAACACCTGGTAGATCGGTGCGGGGCTTGTAGTTACCGTAGAAGGTACCCTTAAGAGTCCTCTCATTCAGGAAATTCATTGGATGGGTTTTGAATGCATCATCTTTGTTTGGCACACCAACTAGTACCGCAAGACCCCAACCCTAAATTTAGAAAGAACAGAAACAAAGAAAAGTAAATTTTAGATTTGAATGGTAATGTTATTCTATCATTATATCCAATTAAACAACAAAAGAGGCTTACATCATGAACACATTCAAATGCAGAAATCATCGCCTGAATGCTTCCGGTGCACTCAACGCTCCTATCAACTCCACCATTGGTCATCTCAGCAATCACCTTTTAATCAAAGCCAAACGTTAGTCGCTGCTGATAGCCGATAATTATCAACACTAAATGGAAGTACTAAAAAAGAAGAGAAGGACAAAATGGGGAAAATGGGAATGCTTGGCTCTAAGTGATCAGACACAAACATAAAATTAAATTGATTTATGTAACTAACCTCTTGCACTGGTTTGTTATAATCTTTCGGATTCACAAATTCATTCACTCCAAACTTCTTGGCTGCCATAAAGTATAGAGACCATTAGAAATTATTTAGTGAATGACATCTCAACCAGGCATGAAGAGCTGAGTCCTTATTCGTTAAATAGATGTATGATCGAATTGACTGACCTTCTTCAAAGCGATTGGAATTCAAATCAACACCGATGATCCTTGAACAGCCCGAAATCCTTGCACCTTCGGCGGCCTAAAAGAGTGACAAGATGAACAAAAAATCATTATGATACTCCAAACTATCTAAAAAGAGCCATAATAGAGGAGCAATAAGAATGACATACAGCAAGACCAACAGCTCCCAATCCAAAAATGGCAATAGATGAACCCTTTTTCGGTTTTGCAACATTCACAGTGGCGCCAAGACCTTCAAATACACCAACGAAAACAATAATTGATTACTCTAGAAAGAAAAATTGAAAAACCATTAATTTCTAACTTTCTAACTGTTAAAATGTGAGAAGTCTTTCAAACCTGTGCATATTCCGCAACTAAGGACGCAAACTTTGTCAAGGGGAGCAGCCGGGTTGACCTTAGCAAGGGAACCAACATGACAAACGGTGTACTCACTGAAGGTGGAGGTACCAACAAAGTGATAAATTGGCTTTCCATCCTTGGAGAACCTGGACTGGCCATCATTCAACATAGTACCCCTATCAGTATTGATCCTCAGCAGATCACACATGTTGCTTTCCTCCGACTTACAGTGCGTGCACTCCTTGCACTCCCCAGTGAACACAGGGAGGACATGGTCACCCGGCTGGAGATCAGTTACACCCTCGCCTACGCTTTCCACAACTCTAAACACAAAATGACAGGCAAACAAAATTTAGAAACGTAAACACGCTGCGTAAAATGGAAGCAAATACGTAGTTAATTAATCACAAATTATTTAGCTTTAATATTCAGAGATCATGTACATACCCTCCAGCTTCATGACCGAAAATGCGAGGAAACAGTGGTTGTTGTCCCTGTGACACAGCATATATGTTTCAGTTTCAACTTGACTAATCAATTGCAAGTTATGGACAAAGCATTATAATTTATAAACATGTGAAAAGTCATGCTTAATATTAAAGTAGACATGGCATTAAAAGTTGAAATTTTTACTTTGGCTTCCCAGAAGTAGACATCGGTGTGGCAAAGAGCGGTGAAGAGGATCTTCAAGCGAACTTCATGTTTCTGCGGTGGTGCCACCTCCACTTCCTCAATTGACAGCGGCTTCCCCGCTTCCCATGCCACCGCGGCTGCAACCGACAAGTCAATTTCTTTTCAATCAATTTTCGAAAATTTCAAAACTAAACTTCATTACTTTCTTATGAAATCCACGAAAACCAAATCAAAATAAATCCTCCTCACCCTCATCCTCATCCTCAACATCATATAGAATTATAAACAATATTTAAAAGAAAATAGAAAATCCCAAGCATCTTTATATTAAAAAAAAAGAAAAAGGAAACAGCACTAGGACCATGCAAAAGGATAAAAGAAAGAGAATTGATCACTCCAAAGGCAAAGGTATAAGCAACTATTATTCATGACCATCACTCAAACTATAATACGAAGGAAATTCATTGTTTCAACCAAATATTAGAGAGAGAGAATCCAACAATGGCCGTGTCAAAAATTAAACAAACAAATAAAAATTGATTAAAAGGGGCAAATTCCCATTTTCAATCATAAAAAAATAAAAAAAAAACTAATGAAAATGGTTTGAAAACTTTAAGTTTTAATTATAAGGATAAAATAAAAAATAAAATAAATAGTACCATGATTGATATTTTAATATAAAAATATAATTTTTTTATTAAAATAACCAATCCTGTAAACTTTTCGTTAAAATTTCAAAAATAAAAAAAAATAAGATGGCATATTCCAAACTCCAAAGTCCGATCATCAGAAAAGAGAATCTAAGTCTAACAAAAGTGATCAACAAGAAACATGATCAAAAAGTGATCAACAAGAAACATGATCACGCATGCCCGGAGCTCGTGGTGAACATGACAATCTATCAAATTGGTAAATCAATCGATCAAATCATTGATACAGAACGCCAGGATAACTTGACTAAAGGAGAGAGGGAATGGTTGGTGCGCTCACCTTTGCACTTGATAACCCGACCAGCCGTTGACATTCTGGAATGAGCTTCTGTTTTCTTGTGATGATTAGTGTATTTTTGTAATGAGCGATGTGATTGATGGCGTTCAAAAGACACTGCTTTTGGTTGTGGAAACTGTCGGAATTGAATGGCAAGTATTTATAGTGCTGAAAAATAAGACAAAACCGCTCAAGAAAAGTGGAAAACCTGTACGAAAATACCATTTTCCACCAAAAGCTTATTACGCCATACAAAATTCTCCGTGATTAATTCTGTGTGTGCGTCAATGAAAATACCAAAACCACTTTTGATTTTGATTTTTTATTTTATTTGGCCGGAACCACTTTTGGAATGAAAAGCGGGAATTGCTTGTTTTTGCGCAACTGTAGTTTTGTAAAACCAAAACCGCCAATGGATTTGGGAAAACGACTGTTTCTGCTTTTGGTTCCAGCGGCGCCTTTGTTTCCGTCGCATTTGCCACGTAATTTTTTTTTTTGGTCAACACCAAAATATTGTAATTACTAGTGTCAAATTTTCTAATGTACTTAGTTTTGGCATGATTATCGACCAGCCAAGATAATTTTTTTTTCTTGGTCAACACCAAAATATTGTAATTACTAGTGTCAATTGTATAATAAGTCCAATATTAAAGAAATGTTATAGGCATAATTTACTAAATAATTATAGAGGTTACAAAGAGAGGGGTCGTGGCAGAGAAAGAGAGATATGTAATTTTGAGATATGTATTATTTCATTCCATTGTGTTTATTTATAGTAGTAGGGAAATTAAATTTCTTATTCCAATAGTATTACAACTTTAATAAGATAATATTTAATATAAGAGATATAGTAGAATCTCATAAAAATATTCCATATATGATAGAATTTACACAATCTGTAATATCCTGCAAATTTTAAATATATGAATATGTGGAGAAAATAAAAAATCTATCGATAGGTGAAAAAGATGAAAATGCCCTAGTTGGTTTAACGAAATTATATGAGGATGTATTTTATTCTCATATATTTTTCATCTAGTTGGTTTAATGAAATTATATGAGGATGTATTTTATTCTCATATATTTTAGCATATTTATGGACGTATTTGGATAGAGTTTAATCTCACGAACGCGTAGGTGCAAACTGTTTGTGAAACGGAGTTTTAACGAATGAGTTATTAACAATCAAAATTAAGGGCAAAAAGGTCATTGGACCACTTATCTGGAAGAATCTAGAAAATATGAGATGCCACGTGTGTGGCTGTGATGAAGAGTGAGGGAGAGAAATGAGAGAGAGGGGGATCGGATGGACCAATGAAAAAGGAAGGAAATGAGGGAAAGGAGGGGAGGAAAAAAGAAAAAAAAGATAAAAAAAAAAGGGAGTTGGGTCTCTCTTGACTCGTGAGGCTCGACCGGCGGGTGCAAGGGTTATTTGCCAAAATCTACCATTTCTGAAACGTTCTCTTCCAATTACCACTACCATTAGACTCTCTTTGAGGCCTGGAACAAAGCTCATGCATTGGTTGGGGCGTTTGATACGGTTTTGGAGTCGAATCAAGAACACCCAATTTAAGGGTTTCCAGCGGTTCGAGGGTGATTTGTGGTGGTTCTCAGCCAAATTGGACTTCGGCCTAGGTATGAAAGTTGTTCCTCTCATTGAACTCTACTTACCTATAAAATTTTGTAATTTTTGGAATTAATTGGATTTTTCCGACGAGTCAGGGTGGTTGGTTGCCACATGCGGCGCCGCATTGGCCGAGACCCCACCTTTTCTTCCTAGGCTGAATTGGATATCCTGATTCCATATGTGACGTTCGAGTTATGAAATCTCATCCTATGACTATAGTTTTGATAAAAACCACCACCTGGACATTAGGTATCGACGATCCGACCATTGGATCGTCACCAAACTTTAATACATAATAGTATGTAATATTTGAGGACAATAAGAACTTATGGTTCTTCCCGAATTGGATCTCTAAGTTTGTAAAATTAAACGTTGACGGCCACTTGATTTTGCGATTGGCGGAGATCTAGTTGTTGGATCGTAATGGAATTTTAGTATGTTGTTTTAGAAGCATAATGTGGATGTTGAGAAGTTACGAATCATAAATCTGATAGGCGGATCCTCCAGTTTAGATTTCTAGGGTTGTGAACCCTATTATCGATCTTGATTGACAGGTTGACTTTTTAGTCAATTAGGCCAAATTTTTCTGGCGTATCGTTTATCCTAGAGCGTTGTTGGGATTTCATGGAGCTTAATGGGCTCGTTGTGATGACATGTATCTCGATTTACGTTTAGTGACACCATAGTGAGTTATATTTGGTTATTAAATGTGATTGCTATTGAATTGTTATTTTTATTTTTAGCCATCGATCTATGCTTATTAATTGTGATTTGGTTATAGCTTGGAAATGTGTGTGGAATGTGGGTTGATTTGTATGATTAATCGGGGTAGGTTATGCATGTTAGCTTGAATGGAATATGTTATAGGTCGAGTTGTTTTGAATGACAAACTATGAATGGCTTGATTCCTATTAAGCGTACGTAGGCAGTCTAACAAGAAGTTAGATGCAGCTATAAAATAAATGAGATAAAATTTTAGTGGAAAATGGTCAAAGAAAGAAAGGTTAGTATGGTTACTTACATAAAGGTTAATTAGGACATTTTTGGCCTACTACCACTGTAATTATTTTCCCAAAATTAAATATTTTGAGATGGGACGTTACACATTTACTTTCTAATCTAATACGACTGCAACACGAAACAATTTGTGTCTTTTTCTTTTAACACGTACAAGGCAAACTCTAATCTCTGGGCTTCTTATTCTATGGTTTTCGGCTTCACGATGTGTATAAGAAGCCTAAAATAATAATAAATAAGAGATTATTTAAAAGAAAACATTGTAAATCCAAATACTAACCTTAACGCGGGACAAGATCAAGATGTGGGCGGTTTGAAAGCCGATACAAGACCTCTTGTGGAGAATAATTAGACAACATATGAAATTCTCCTGCAAATATTCATTAATTGATGCTTATCATTTTATCAATCTTGTAAAAAAAATTCAATTAAATTTCAACCTTGCTATTTCTTCAGAACTAAATTCATAGTGAATCAACTGTAATAATTAAATATCAAACTTGTCATTTATGTAAGTTTTTTTTTTTTTAGTACATTGATATTTTTATATTAGGAGGAGGGAGAGTTTGGCTAAACCACATAATGGGTAACCTAATTTGATACCAAATTTGCCATTCACGAGATTCAAACATAAAACTTATCACCTCTAAGCGAAGAGAAATATCATCAGACCGTAATGGCAAACCCTAGCTAGCTATGTTTAGGTATAAAGCTTCGACAATAATACTAATTACCTTAGAATTAATTTCTATTTAAAAAACAAAGGGTTATAAAAATGAAGACGACTACAAAATTTTGAGAGCAACATTGACTTATGGAAATTCGCCTGCAAGTTTAGTCCAACCCATTTCTAAATTCTCGATATGTTCATGCAAGAGTGAGCCATGGTTGGTTCTTTTGATGATAGTTAATGGAGTTTTAAGGGTTTGAATTTAGAGCGAAGAAAACCATACTAATTCTTCATAGTGCATGGAGGCCGTGGAGGAGATGGATATAGGTGGATACGCAATGACCGGGTTTACACCATAAAGGGAAGCACTAGGGCCAAGTTAACTTGTAATGAGGAAAATCAATTATAATACTGAAACTTCGATTTCTCAGACATTCTGACAAAGCCTTTTTTGGTGGCGTGCAGGTATACTATGCCAATGACACATACTTCATTATTCATTGCTTTAATTCATTAGAACGATTGATCGAACCAGTTTATAGTTTTTATTTTACTTTTCAACAACGCAGGCAGGCAGGCACCTTTGTTGCTTGCTGTTTCAACATGGTTTTTTAAAGCATAATGCATCCTACATAGCCATGTGTTCTTATTTGTATAACATTGATCAACATTCTGATTACGAATTCAAACCATGAGGAATCGCAACCTTCAATAATTTATTGCTTGTTTACATAATTCAGAATTTTGCACCCTTAATTAGTCTGGAAATAAGAGAGTTGAACTGCAAACCACATATTAAATGGTAGTGTAGGTGAAACCTATAGTCAAAAACATGCAAATTAAGAAAATGCCAAATTTTTATTGCAAAATAAGTGTTTAGATTTTGCGAGGTTTCCTTTCCCAAAGAGCAAGACAATAAGAAGAATGAGGATTTGTTTGAGGGAGTTTTGGAATGAGGTGATTCAAGGTGTGTGAGACTATGACTCAATACTTCTACAGCTCCTCCACTTCACCATGGAGTTAGCAAAGAGATGTCATGATAGTCTAAGTACCAAAGGTGAATTTTGGTACATGGATACTCTTGATCAAATATCTACCTTGGCAATTGCACCAAGGAAGATTGACGTCCATCCGGACTTTGCAATCAGTCAGAAGATTTTGGCAATGGCGGATGAAGGTGTTGCAATTTTCTAGACACAAATTGGAAGCTAAAGTGACTATAGAGGTAAATTGTAGATAACAATAGAATGCTGGAAGAGGCCATTCTTTGGTTGAAAACATGAAGAAGAAGATCGGGAAGTCGAAAGCTTGAAGAAAGGTTTAGAAGTTTTTGAAAGAAAGACGAAAACAAAGGCAAAATCTGAGATATTTATAGGGGACCTCTCAAGCAGATGGAAATAGGGACCACCGAGTTCAGAAAATATATATGTGAAGGTCTTTCGAGGATCTTCCGAATGTTTGGTACATATCTTTTTTGTGCTTATTAAATGTTTAATGTAATGCATGCTAGACATATCACGACATATTGCATCGACAACACTTGACAAATTCTTTCTATATTACTCATTAAAATGTTCATCGGACAATTATCCATCCTTAAGTGAAACACCCTTTCAAATACATAGTTTGGAGCCATGATGGGATCATGGATTTCTAGAGCCAGAATAGCGTGATTGGAACACTTACCTCAAAAATTCAATTATAAACTAAACAGCTCTAATCAGATTAAACTGCTCAAACGGACAGATACAACCACATCTTGCTATGCATCGTGCCAGAAGATTTTGAACCCATTTTCAAGAAGGCACACTTGTTGCTTGTAATAAGTAATTATAACCATAATGCTATCCGTCGGATTTCCCTTTTTTTTTTTTTTTTTTTTTTCCCTTCCTTCCCCTAATTTCTCTACCCTCCTCTCGCTCGGTCCCTTCTGCTTCTGCCTTGTCTCTCTAAAAGTCCTCTCTCTCCTCCTTCGCTGAACGGCCCGAACCACGACGCCGTTTCTTCTCACCGTCGACCTCGCCCACCTCGCCATCACCCGGCGAACTTCCTCTTTCAACGCCTTCAAACACCCCGAACTACAAAACCACCTCTTGCTTCTTCACCAGTTCACGCAGACCACCGCCACCACTACCACCACTTCACCCAAATCCGACGAAGGGCGCCACAACACACGTGTGAATCTTCCTGCACCACCGGTCTCTGCAACGTTTTCCAAAACCCGCTTGACGGAAGGTAAGCGAATTTGGTACTCTGGATTATATTGGAATTGACATAGGTTTGGTTTCAATAAGTTTTTATGTTATTAAAGTTGTATGCTCTGATTATTTTGGAATTTGATTTTGATTCACAAATTTCTGATAAAACCCCAACAGAAATTTAGGAACGTGTTTTTTTTTGGGTCTTCTTGCTTCTGATTTTTTGGGTATCAACCAAGGACTGACTTAGGGAGGGTTCAAGTTTTTCGACGTAATTGTTTATTTTTGTAATTTGATTATTTTGAGCTCTTATTTTTATAATTCTGTTTTTGAAGGAATTAATTGTAAATTGTTATGTTGAATTTCAGGCACGAAGCCTGGAGAGAGTTTTCGTCTGCACCAATAAGTAAAAGATTCGTTATTTCACTCTGGACTCTGGAGACTCTGGATGGCATTTGTGTAGCCATTAAAGGTTTCATAAACGAGCGGATCACTATCGAAAACGGGATTCCGTCTGAGGTAGTACTCGATATTTGCTAACATTGCTCTTCTTTACTGATTTCGGTTGACATTGTGAATGTAATTAACTTTTGAATGTTTTTCGGTACAAATTTAGTTTCGAATTTTGGGTTTGCCTGGATATGTTGAAAAATATATGCATTTGAGAGTGTTGGGGACTCACAAATGCTGTAGGTACTGAGTTTTGGGTACCTTTTATTAATTCAGATTCATATTGGGATATTGATTCTGTGAACAATCAATTAGTGGTAACTTAGTATATTAGCTATGAATATTGGCTTTAAGTATAATCATAGATTAAGGTTTTCTAGATTTAGGGATTTTGGATCTTGACGTTTATTCCAAATCTTGTGTTCCAAATATTGTTTTTGTTTTCATTTTGGTAAAATTTAGGGAAGAACGAATTCAATGATTTTATGTTGTTTTTTATATTACTGATATGTGTGGGAAATCATCAAATTTGATTTTGAGCTTGTGCTGCTTGTCAACCATGTGTAATGCTGAATGATGAAACAATGATTAACAGCCGTCTGTAATGATTAACTCAGCTTGCACTGCAAACCACTTGCTACTGAATTGGAACTTAGTTCCTTTGTTTCTGGCTTGGCAGGAGATTGCAGCATGCGAGATCAAGCAAGCAGAGTTTTTGTTGTTTTGTTATTTAAAAGGTTACGTTTTTTATTTAGGAAATTTTGGATCCGAGATATGCCCAAGTTTAAGTATTTTAGGTGGATTTGAATTTAAAAATTGTTTACTTTGTTCTTTTTGCTTGTAATTTAAAAAGTTACGTTTTTTATTTAGGAAATTTTGGATCTGAGATAATGCCCAAGTTTAAGTATTTTGGGTGGACTTGAATTTAAAAATTGTTTACTTTGTTCTTTTTGCTTGTAATTTGAGTATTTGACAATAGGTGAAACTTCTCCCGAGTAAAACTGCTGTTTGTTTGTGTTTTTAGTGCGAAGTAACAATGATTTGTAGAAATCTGAGCTTGTGCTGCTAAGTAACAACGATTGTGTAGAAGTTGACCATATGTAATGATTAACGACTATGTCATACCGTATGGTTTTGGTTTTATTTTTTGTTTTGGATGAAGTGAATGCAGACGACATGTGTTTTGCATTTTGTTTTAGTTTTAGATATTAGAGAAGATGTATGGTGTGTGATGCTGCCTTAAAAGTCTCGGTAGCTGCTCTGCATAATATATGGTTTTTGTGTGAAACATGAATCTCAGATATTGATTTGTACTCAGAGACAGGTTTAATGTGGGTATCTGTAATTGGGATTTTTTTTTTGTTTTTTTTGGAACTAAGTAATTGGTTTATTATTAGAATGAAATGCGGGATCTGTAGGCTGTTGCCAACCCTTACAAACTTATAAAAACTTTGGGAATTATAAAACTATTCATTTAAATGCGGGCATCTGTAATTGGTATGGTATTATATTTCATGGACATGACATCCGGTTAAATGTTTCAGTTCTGGGAAGTGTTTAATTGTTCATTGGCGACAAGGTCACAAGGAAGAGTGCCGTCCACCTAGCAGAGTTCACCAGAATATTGGTTTGAGGTACAATGATCTTCCTACCTTTTCTATCTGATTATCAAAATCTTTAATTTTGTGTACTTTTATGTTTCCAAATTCTAATTTCTCACAAATATTAAGATGGTCAAGTAATTGCAGAATCACATCCTTAGCACTTGTTTGTGTGCCTTAGTCATCTCTTCTTCAGTTCATTATTTCAAGATAGTATTTCTCCTTTTTTATTTGCATTCACATTTGAAATAATTTCCCATGATTTGGGTTTCTCTGATTGATAAAAAAAATGTGGACTGCTATGTGTTTTATACAGATTTCTACATAATGTCTCAAAGCACCTCTAGGAATTTAGCATCTTCTATGGCTACATCACCATGTCCTCCACAATTACCACAAGCCTTACAATCACAATCATCATTGCCTTCTCCAAATCCCTCCTCCTCAAGAAAAGCACTTATAGAATTAGAAGGTCCGTGGACCTGTGGACGAAAGAAATAACAAAATTTTTACAAAAAAAGGCCTGTGGACCCGTGGGAGCTGGATGAATTACCTTAATGGCTCATTTATTACTGAACAATAGGAATTGAATTGAGGAGGAATTGAATTGAATAGGAGTTGGAATGGGAATAAGTCAAAATCGGAGTTGGAATGATGTAAATTTTTTACTATTTCACCTGAATCGGAATGAAAATATTAAGATTACTAAAACTCCCTTAATCTAAACAGTAAGAAAATCAAGACTTTATAAAACAACTTCATACTAAGATATATATATTTAACTTTTACTTGACTATTGCTACTGAGTATTACATCATGATGGTATTTATCTTTACTCATTGTGTGACTTAGCCGACTTCCCTCTTTTTAGAATAAAATATATTTTTGTATTTAAAAAAAAAAAGAAGTTTTACTTGACTATTCCCATATGTTTGATTTTAATAAAACTTGAATTCTTTTATTTTTTAAAGGATAAAAAAACTCATTCACACAAATAGAAACACTAAAATAAAAAATAAAATAAATAGAAAAAGGTTCTGGAACCTTCACGGATCACCAGAAACCTCTATACTCTCTCCCTCTGCATCCTCAACCTGTTTTCAGAAGAATACATTCGATTAACTTCTTTTCCTTCAAGGAACTTTCTCCCAAATGCTTTCATCGTCTCCCTGCTGTCAGGAGTTTGTTGGTTAGAATTGTTGGGGTGGTTTGTGGTGGGTCTTGGCAGTCTGGGAGGTGGTGCGGTGGTCTGCGTTGGTTAGGGGGTGGGTATGGGGATGGGTGTGCTTTGGGTGGTTGAATGGTGGATGGCAGATGGAAGGGGCTGAAAGGGTAATTCCGGTCTGAATCTGGATGTTGGCATTCTTCCGGAATTCAAATCTCTCCTCCAAGTCAGTATCTGGATTCTGGGAATATCAGGAATCCAATTACTGATTTTGGGTGGAGCCCACTAATATTTTCAAAAGTTTAGTAAACGCCGAAGTCGCTTGGGGAAGAACTCAATTCCCTTTCTTTTACCTCTATTCCGGGTTTTGTAAACACGCCATAATTGTTCTGGGTTTTTCACGGCTTTAATTTCCACATTAAAATATTTTCCACTATCCAACAGAAAATCCTCCATTTGGGTTTTTGGTACTAAGATTTGTGTTCTTTTTTACCCCAATTTTAACGCTTTTTGGTCTGCTTCGTAGGAACAAAGAGTTTTGATCGAAAGCAATGGATCTCACGCCGTTCAAGCGGGACGTTGATGAGCTAATAGATGAATTTACTAAGGTAAAGCTTCCTTTTTTTTTTTTTTCTTTCATCTTATATTTTCTGTTGTTGATTTATGTGTGGGTTATCTGCAAATTGTTGCATGGAGTTTTTTTTGGGGTTTTGTTCATTGATTTTTTTTGTTGTGTGGGTTTTGGGTAATTGGCAGGCTGAATCAACGAGTTTGGCTGATATGAAGAGGATATGGCTTTCCAAAAAGTTTTCTTACATTTACGAGGCTCGGCCTTCTACCAACTTAGCCTTCTTCATGCAGTCATTGTATGCACATTCGATTGGTAGGCTCTTGCCCCTTCTAATCGGGTTTACTAGTTGATTAAACTCATAGATAACTTTATTTTGTTGCTGCAATGTTGTAAGTGCAAGCTTATTATTCCAGTGGAAAGTTGTTTTGATGACTATAGCATTGCTGCTAGTCACGGCAAATGTTGTGTTTGCGTCTGAAGAGAATCTGGAGATAGAACCTGAAGTTGAGGAAATACTGAAGTAGGAAGCCCATGGTGAACCAGTGAGGTGTTTAAGTTTTGAAAGCTAACCTGTCAGCCGTGGGTTCTTCATTTTGGTCTTCTGAGTGTCAAAAGTATTTATTTGCTGCAAATCGTGCATTGAATCAATTACCCATCTCGTCCATTAATCAGTTTATTGAAAATGTCTTAACTAGTACCTAATTATCTAATTCTTTCCCATAGACTTAAAAACTTTAATGTATAAAGGGAAGACTTCAGTTAGTCGACATGTTTTAGCATGTGGTTCCAGCTTGTTGAATGTCTAGTTGAATTTTTAGTGCACAGTTTGGCAATGATGAGTTTTATGTTCCAGCCTTGCTAATCTTTTTCCCCCTTTTCATATAATTTTTCTGTGGGATGCTTCATGTTATCAAACAAATGCAAGTTAAATCCCACTATTTTAGTCAAATAACAATTTCCTTACGATGTGATACTCGTATTTGCCAGTTCCAAGTGCAACTTTTAGTCCACAATTTCTGAGTTTCATAAGTATGAACTCTATGTTTCAGTCTTGAGAATCCTTTCTTCCCTTTTTACTACGTGAGCTATCATTGAGTTTCATGTGTCATATTTCATATCATCTCACATGAGACACCCCAGATCTTGTTTGAATACTCGTGAATTCGAACTTCCAATATGGGGTTTTGCATTATCTGTTATTCTATTACTCAGTGTTCGAGACTAACTTTTATATGCTTTTGTGCAGGATACATAGTCGACACAGCTTCTTTATCACACAGAGTGGGTGGACTCTATTGCCTTTTCTGTCTCTATGAGACTCAACCATGCAAACCTCCTTTCAAGATTTATATATCTCTTGGTATGTATGTAGATTTTACTTTGAACAACACACCACCATATTAAATGGCGCTACTCTCTGTAATTTAATATTCGAAACATAGGCAAGAATGCATTATTTTGAGTGAGCATATGTTTCTATGTGCCTTGTATGTCCCATATAAATTTGAGAAGGTTGGTTATCAGTTCATTATCAGTTACAAACTGAAGGTATTTCTATTACCATTTTCAGAAGAGCTGAAGAAACTTCGAAAGCTTGTTATTGATGCAAAGGAAAACAATATAAAAGTGGTATCTTCCTTGGTAAGAAAAATGCTAGAAAAGAATACTTTCCTCTTTGGGTTCGTGGATACAAATGAAGAGTCTTTTGCGGAGACAGTAAACCAACTGACACAATTACAGAATGCTCGAGTTCAAGTTGCCTACAAGGAGTAAGTACAAACATATGTTTTCCGCTACACCTACATTAACAAATATATGTTGTGACATTTATAAACCACTTGATATTTACTTACTGGTTATTTTCTTTTGTTTCGACTAATAGGTTATTTGCTAATACTAAGATTGAGGACTTTCTCCACATGGACTTGGTAAGTTACAACAATCCTCAACTTTTCTCCTGTCGATTGGGTGATAACATATTTTACAAAACGCAAATTGCAATTCATTTGCAGTTACTTTGCAACGGCTTCAGGTGTCTAAAGTCCAATTTTTTCTCACGTATACCAGGGAATGGAAGTTGACCTGAATACACTTAAGAAAATGTCAACAGAGTATGCAGAGGCCAAGAAAATAGCAATTACGGGTATCTTTTCTCCCCCTAACCTCCCCACCGCATTTATTTCACTACTCCTGCCTGTAATATAAATCCATCTGCACCAATGCTAGTTTCTCGCTTGCTTTTTGCCATTGTAGTTGTTACCAATTAATTGTTTCTTTATTTTCTCTCTTTCAAATTGAATTCTTGTTAAAGAGGCCAGCAAGGTTGTGGACGTTGGGGATATAAAGCACATTGCAGAGGGTAAGGAACTGGTTGGAGATGTAGCGGAGAAGATGGTTGGGCAATGGGATTCTCAAAGAGAAGTCTTTTATCGACAAACAGGGGCAAACCAGCGACAGCTGCAACTGATGAGTGACGATGACAATGATGACTTTGATAAGGAACTGGAACAGCTGCTATCTGGAGCAGATTATACAAGCAGTTGAAATTGCATTGTTTTCTGCAGATGATAGTAGTGAGCCGCCGGCGGAGATGATGGTTTTTGCTCTGGCTGATGTTATCGTGATTTTATTTTTGATACTGAGGCCTCCACCTGGGATTTTGCTGAAGAAAATGGTGAAGTCTAGCGGCTGGGTTGTTTCGGTACTTAGTGGGTTTGGACCCAAAATATGAAGTATGAATCATGGCAGCGGTGATCTCACTCGATGGATGAAATTTTTTTGAATAGTGTATGAATAGAGGAAGGTAAAAGAAGTATCACTACAATAACTTTCAGTACTTTCGATTAGGTCAGGGCCATTCCACTAAGTTAATAAGTCACCCATTTCACCTGTTAATACTCGTTAATTGAGCCGGCGTGTGTACGGTGTGCGTGTGAGAGAGTTTGAGGACACCACAAAGTTTATTTGGTAATGACACATTAATGTGTTTTCATTAAGTTCTATGTAATATATTAAAGAAAATTATTATTAGCATTTCAAAAATCTTATTTGGCATTCTATACACTTGTGAAGGGTGCCAAATGAGATTTTTGGAGTGCTAATAATAATTTCCTATATTAAAAAGTGTACTTTGATGTAATCTAAGTTGCGGCAGATGTAGTACGTAATGAAATGCTAATGTTTATATTAATTAAGTATGAACTTTTGCCATTTTTTTATTCCTTTTTATTCTTTTCTTTCTCCATTTGTTATTTATCCAAAACATATGTATTATTCTTAATGGGTGAAATAGGTCGGGTCGGGTAGGCTAATGCATTAATTGAACGGGTTGCGTTTGAGTTTGAGTTCTTAAAGCATTAAGATAATGAGTTTGACGTGACTCGATCCGTTAAGATAACGTGTATGACATGAAAATGACACAAAGACGGAAAACGCTACCCGTTTGCATGATCTATCTTTAGTCGACCTGACTCATTTTTTTTAAGTAGTTCATTACGGATTTTACATGAAAATTTGTACTTTTTGTATTTCTTACGTGCAAGTAAATACATATAAAAGTTAAAGAGTGAAATGATTTTCTTATTCATATTTTAGTAAACGTAGTGAATTCAAGAATTAAAACAAGGGAAGTAGACAAAAATAACCTATTTTCTTAATCTTGGGACAAAAGTAGGACAAATCGGTCATGCACACTAGGTCTAGCAAACGGGTCGTGTCTGTCTTGTTTGTGTAACATCTATTATCTTAACGGGTCATGTCATGTCACACTCATTATTTTAACAGGTCCTTAACTGGTCGGGTTACTTTACCCAACAAGTAAAGTGACCCAACCCGTTATGACCCTTTAAGAAAAATATATTTTTCTTCTTAAATTTGCACATACCACACACTGCCACATAAATATTACTTCAAAACATTAAAACATATTTGTCGTTTAAGTACTAGATCTACGCTCGAAAATAAGAGTCTAATAAACAAACATTCATATACTAATAGTCTATTCAAAAATATTAAATGTGCAAGGATACAATGAAAGAGTTTTTATTTTCAAGGTTGTGAAGTCTTTCTCAAAAGTTTAAACCTTGCCAATAGAACTCAAAGCTTGCATGCTATTCATTTTACAAAATCCTCAATTTTCATCGATTATCATGACATAAGATTTTGTGGGATCTACTAGTGTAAATATTTTAAATTGAACATCGAATTCATTCATTGTATTCATATAGGGTCAAGGAATGTAGCTGTAAAAAATCATCAAAATCGGAGTTAAACTAACTGTTAAATCGTGATTTTTCGTTGATAATCGTCGAAAAGTTTTGTCCCGTTACTCGATCTCTGAATGTTTTTTTTTTTTTTTTTTTTTGCAATTTTTGGCGTATGTGATCTTGACGTATATACAAAAAAGTTTGTCGGTTGGATCGTTGAAATTAATTTCGTAGAATGCATATCCCATCAAAACGATAGATTCACTAACACTTAGAGTTTATTTATACTTTCATTAAGTATAACATAAGATTTTGTGGTATCCACTAGTGTAAATATTTTAAATTGAAGATCGAATTCATTCATTGTATTCATATAGGGTCAAGGAGTGTAGTTGTAAAAAATCATCGAACTCGAAGTTAAAACAACCGTTAAATCGTGATTTTTCGTTGATAACCGTCAAAAAGTTTTGTCCCGTTACTTGATCTCTGAATGTTTGTTTTTCATGATTTTTTGCTGATGCGATCTCGAAGCATATACAAATAAGTTTGACGGTTGGATCATTGAAATTAGTTTCATAGAGTTCGTATCCCATCAAGTTCAATGGTGTGTGTGTGTATATATATTTATTAAGTAGATTTAAATTTATTTATTTTGTACATATAACATTTAAGAAATTGAATGGTATGTATATTTAAGCCGATCCAATGGTCATCAATTTTTAATATTTAATTTAATATATATATATATATATATATAATTATTATAGTTTTACTTTTTAGGGATATAAAATTGTTAAATTAATATATATTTATTATAGTATTTTTTTAGGGTTATAAAATTATAAAATTAATATTTTGCTTATTGTATATCGTGTTACCCACTTGTATACCCGAACCAACCCGTTATCTTAACAGGTGCTTATCGAGTTACCCGATAACGGCTCGATTCGTTATTGTGTCGACCCAAACACCTATTAATTTCATGTCGTGTCGTGTTATCAAGTTGTTTCAAGAATTGCCAGGCCTAATGCACACCATGTACAAGACCCAAAATTATTAAAATACCCACATATAAATACTAAAAACCTCATCTCATTGCATCACTTTCTCATTTGGAAGATAGGGGTGTCGAGAGAGCCCTGTGAGCTCTGGGTTTAGCTCAAATCTCTTAGCTTGGATTTCGAAGAGAGAGAAGTCCAAAGAGAGGTGAGAGTGAGTTCGGTTTTGGGTTTACCTCATACCTCTAATTTCGAACACAGGGATATTGAGAGAGAAGTGAGAAAAGTGAGGTCGGGGTTTTCAGGTTTTAGCTCAGATCTATGAGCTATGTGTGTTATTCTTCCATAACCAAACACAACAAATTGTTCCATCCTTAAAGTTAGGCCGTTTGTACCATGTTTTTTGTTCTAGCCGGAAAGTTCCATTTTTTCCGATGACTAAAACTTCGACATGCATAGTAAGGCAGGGTGTTTAGTTCCAAGTTCCTTCATCAATGATTTATGTAATAAATGGGGGTTGTTTGTAAGATGAATTAATACAAAGAAGTTAAATTAGGGTTTGTATTTCATGTTGGGGCTTATGGGTTGTTGAATAAATTTTAAGTTTTGACATGCTACAAAACTGGATGGAACAATTTCTAGTTCAAGTGTCCAATTATATAAATTTGTGAAATTTTTTCATAATGTGCATGTGGTGTGCATGGCTACATCTTAATATTAGAAGCGTGAATGTTTACTAGTTATGATGTACGTATGTTGTGCCCTAGAATTTAGTGAGTATGACCACAACCTAGTTGGCCTTGGCGGAAAAAAAAAATTAAGAAAAAGCTTAGACGACATTAAGGGTCATGTGTATCATAAAAAAACGACAACGAGTATCATATTTTCCATGTGCACGGTTAAGCGTGGTTGATATATCTAACAGGACTTTTCAAATTGCCACTGTAACCTTATATACATAACAATTATATTTTAATTGTATCTACTATACCAATAGGTTGCCATTAAAGTTTCTTATTATGTGAAAAACAGCTCGTTGCTTGATCTCCAGTTTTGTGCATATGATGTGCATGTACGGTACATATGATGTGCATGTTGTGTGCGTATAGTGTATATGGTGGTGACTTCATAGGGGACGAAGTCATTTTTCTTATTTCAAAGAGAAAGCTGTGAGATCTAAGTTTTTAGGTTGGCTCAGATCTGTGAGCATATCATGTGCATGTCCTATGCTTGTTGTGTGCATGTCACTGGAAAGAAATGATTTTTAATGGGATTTTCAGAATCTAAGTTTAGATCAAAGATTTGTAAACTACAGATCTTTAAGGAATTTCCAAAATCAAAGCCTCCACATATCCCCAACGCCGATGCACGTCCACAACAAAACCGACGTCGTTGCATGTATTGGTATAGATAACAAATTCATGAACCATAAGAAAACTCATTTTTTTTTTTTCTTTATTAAGTTGTCAAATACTTTAAACCTTTGAATCTAAACTAATATAATCTTGTGGCTGATATGTATTTGATCCTCACAAATTCTCAAAATGAGGAGGTGAAGAGAGTATTAATCGTAAGGTAAAAGCCTAGGATTGTTGAGGATCATTATCCACATCTCGTATGGGCGCGTCGAATGTGCCTCAAAGAAAAGGCATTGGGGTGGTTCACGTGGAAACCACATAGGAGGAAGCCTCCACCACGCACGAAGTGCGGTATCAGCAATCAGTGGGTAAAATATGAGGAAGGGGGAGCTTGGCTTCCAAGTTAAACCATTATATAAGCCGAGATTGGAATCATTGAATTAATCAAAGGTACGCAACCAATACCACTTGAAGCACTAAGGATATTCTGTAAACACTAATTTGAGCTTCGGAGTGTAGTTTGCAGGTATAGTTCCTTCTCAACAATTGGTGGAGCGTTACTAAGAGTTTCTTTTCCATCCTTATAAGCGACGTGTGGGATATATTCGATTGGTGGAGCGTTACTGAGATTCCGTTCCATCCTTGTAAAGCAACATGAGGAACCTTGTCAAGATTCTGTGAAGGTATTTATTCTTGTGAGAAATTCTGCTCCAACAGCTGGCATCATATGTGGGAAATTCACAAAACAAAACAAAAATGACAGGATCCTCAGAGAGCTCAAAATCCATTCAATCCCCCATCCGTAAAGGCTATATGTATATCATCATATACAGCATACTGACAAACAATGGTGATTTTGATATTTTAGAGTCTCCATTCACGCGTCACTGCAAAACTGATGTCAATTGTAACCATCAGTTTACCCAAAATTTATATTGTTCAAGCCTCAGTTAGTGTGTAGTTTTACTTTCCTGAGAGATCGACGGCATCCAATGTATTGTATCACTATCACATTCATACATATTTGATTCTTTTGGCGAAATTAAGATTTATGAATTTTATGATCCTGGGTTATATATGTTTGGATGAGAGATTCCAAGTTTTCTGATCCTAAGTTATATATGTCGAGATATGCATAGAATGCATTACATCAAATATTTAGTAGGTACAAAAGGGACTTGAACTAAACATTCAGAGAGGTTCTCGAAAGACCTTCACATATATATTTTCTGAACTCAAGTGGTATTGAGACCATCTTGGTCCCTATACTTCCATCCGCCCCTGGCCATATGGTCTAATAGGAAATACTGTATCATGTGCATGTACGGTACATATGATGTGCATGTTGTATGCATACAATGTATATGGTGGTGACCTCATAGGGGATGACGCTATTTTTCTGATTTCGAAGAGAGAGCTATGAGCTTTGGGTTTGGGTTAGCTCAAATTTGTGATCATATTATGTGCATGTCTTATGCATGTTGTGTGCATGTCACTGGAAATAGATAATTTTTAATGGGATTTCCAGAATCTAAGTTCAAGATTTGTAAACTACAGATCTTAAATGAATTTCCAGAATCTAAGCCCTCACATATCCCTAACACCATTAATTGCACGATGCACGTCCAA